CCACTTTCTCTTGAAAATATGTGGCTGTTGCGTTACTCGTAAATTTCATTTACTCCCACGTGTATGCACGCGATGCATATGTATGGACACGTGGGTAGCTATATTTCGCGAATCTGTTGGAACTCGAATTATCGTCAAAGGGAATACAAAACCAGGCAATAAGCGATCGAGCCACGCGGCAAAAGTGGTATAATTTTAACAACAGACTACTACTCTCCCTACATATATTTACTAACCCACTTTCCACAATAACCTCGATTATTTATGCGAAAATTTGGAAAAAGATTTTCTTCAATCTTCAGTTTGACGTTAGACGAACAAACGTCATTTTAACGAAACTACAACTATATAAATATATGAAAAAAATCGATTCAAAGTACATTGCAAAGACACTTACCATACAATCGAATGCTGCTCTCGACGTCACCAAGAGAATTCTTGGCCACACACTTGTATGTACCTACGTTGTCTTTTTGCAAATTGCGAATAGTCAATACCATCCGGACCTCAAACTTTGATTTTTCAATCATCTGCACGTCGTGTTGCTGGCTCGATATTATCATTGCTGGACAAACAAATTTACGTATAATTATGCATCAACTTGCACATTGGCAACAACACGTGTCGCGGAAATGTTATACTCGACGATAAAGTAGAAACGAGATGGTACGCGCAGGATAACTCTGGCGACCATTTACCACCAGCAAAGATCCTTTGTGGTATAAAAAACGATAGGAAAAGTGCTGCAAGGGAGCACTTTTCCATTTGAAAGATCAATGGAAACGTACGAGTGAAGCTCGAAATATTCCAAATTCAAAAACAAACTAATACGAATTCGGGAAATCTATCTATGGTAGATAATTTTGCAAAACATTTTCACTACAGAAGGAACCGTGGCCACGTACACGTGGCGCCTATAGCGCTCTATAAGTACTCTTGCAAGGTATGCGGTGAATGCGTGTGTACACATACGCACCTATGACGACGTTTAAGAATATCGCACAGTAAGAGTAAAGGGAATACGAAACGACGTATAAATGTATGCGAAAATTCACTTCTTAAACGCGCGCCGAATTTTCTTTTATTATATATAGTCTGAAGCCAGTTCCTCTACACTGTACACACACACACACACACACACACACACACACACACACACACGTGCCTTCAACGTTGCATCGTCTCAGCATTCTACCTACATTTACACAGGTGCGAGAGTGTGTGTACGAGTATAAGCAAAGTAGAGAAAAAGGAGGGATTTTTGCCATGCATGGTGAAAATTACACATGGAAACGCATTGGGAAAAGCACCACGTCCGCCATCTGTACAAGACTGCTCGGAGAATACACGTGTTTGCCAACGGTCGAGTGTAATTCACTTTCACGTTTGTCCGCCAACACTTGGCCAACATGCTCACGAAAATATTAAACCTATTATTAAGGGGATGTGTTTGCTCTCCGTTTCTCGCTCTACACGCACGCGCACTTCTTCCGAAAGAGGGAACAGCCGATTCGTTTCGAAACGTGCGAATGTTAATTCTTCCAATTAAGGAAACCATCCCCTCGTCGACAAGTAATTTCCAGGTGCGAATAGGTGCTTTCTGACTCTCGCTTTCGACAAAATATCTTCCTAAAAGGCTTCCCTCGGAGCAAAAAATTTCTCAAAATTGCTGAAAAATGGATATTTGCCGCGCTCGAGAACGAGCCCATCGATGCGAAACAACGTTTGACAAGCTACGTCGAACTACGTAAGTGCGTAACTTTTTGCACTCGTCGATGAATAATGAATGTAACCGTGCATTACCATAATTATTTGTTTCACGATAATTACTTTGTGGTGACCGATGAATAATTTTGTAAAATTTAACAAGCATAATATTACCGATCGTGCAGATATTATCATCGTCGTTGCACGACGAAATATTTTAATACCGTGTAAAATATTTTAATACGATGATAATTC